TCAAATTTTCCTTGCATGAGGGTTGAAAACTTGGTGCATAGATCTTCCTTCGTTGAGCCAAATATGATATCGTCCACATAGATCTGAACTAATAGGAGATCTTCTCCATCTTGTAGCTTGAATAATGTCTTGTCAATTACTCCTTTGGTAAATCCATTGTCTATAAGAAATTGAGACAATGTATCATACCAAGCTCTTGGTGCTTGTTTGAGTCCATATAGCGCCTTCTTCCGTCTATACATCTGATCTCCCTTAGTGTGTAACTCAAATCCTGGAGGTTGTTCTACATACACTTCTTCCTCTAGGTTTCCGTTGAGAAATGCGCTTTTGACGTCCATTTGATAGACTTTGAAGTCTTTGTGAGCAGCAAAGGCTAGAAACAACCTTATAGCTTCAAGTCTAGCAACTGGAGCAAAGGTTTCATCAAAATCTATACCTTCTTCTTGAAAATATCCTTTGGCAACCAACCGGGCTTTGTTTCTGACAACAACGCCGTTTTCATCCATCTTGTTCCGGAAGACCCACTTTGTCCCAATGACATGTTGATGAGTAGGTCTGGGAACAAGTTTCCACACGTTATTTCTGGAAAATTGGTTGAGTTCTTCTTGCGTTGCATTGATCCAATCAGAATCAGCTAGAGCTTCTTCAATATTCTTAGGTTCCACTTGTGAGATGAAACAAGCAAGCATAGCTTCTAGATTCTGTTGGGCACTCCTTGTGCGAACACCAGATTGAATATCTCCGATGATCTGTTGAGGAGGATGATCCCTTAACCAACGACGATTGTGTTTATTGGGATTGACTGGTTGATCTAGTTCAGCTTCTGGTTGAAGAACAGAAGTTGGTTGTGTTTCCGGATGGATTGGCACTGGGTCGCCATTTCCGGAATTGTTGTCGTTTGAAATATCCGGAATATTGGAAGGCTGGCCAAGATTTCCGGATGGCTCAGCACTGTCTAAATCCGGATTTCTCTGTGAAATCTTCAGAGGCAGACTTCTGAATGGAATGAATTCCGTGGGCTTCATTCTATCTCCTTTATTGACTTCTTCATCCTTGTCTGATAGATCCAGAACTTCATGGTCATGCTTTGATGGCTTGTCATCCACATGTTTTTCGTCAAAAATAACATGTATTGACTCTTCCGTAATCATGGTTCTTTTGTTGAAGACTCTGAATGCCTTGCTTACCATGGAATATCCTAGGAAGATGGCCTCATCTGACTTCTCATCAAAAGTGTTCAGATGATTCTTCCCGTTGTTTAACACAAAGCACTTGCT